GACCCGCACGCCTATAAATTGAATTATCTTGAAGGTGTTAGTTACCACAGCATTATTAGTCGAGGTGGTAAGAGTGGTGACATGTATAATAAATTTATGGTGAAATAATTTATGCGTGCATGAAATTTAACCCCATAGATATGATGTAGCAAATAACAGAGCAAACATACAAACCAGGTTGTCATCACCAATTCATAATAATGTTAGCAGACAATGCCGCGCAATATTTTAGCAGGCAATATTTTGATGGCTGCTTCTTAAAGAGTAAAGATTAATGCGAAGTACTTTCAATCAGTAAGGTTAGGTAGCTATAGCCTATAGGTATTGCAGCACGCAATCAGTTATTATTTCTTTAGTATGCTGTATGCTAGACACCACGGCTTTCAAGCAGGGCTATCACAACCGCGAGTTGATTGTACTATATTCGTTATTTAATATACTCATTACTATATTTTGATACAAGGTAGCACAAGACACATAATATTTATTTACATATATATACCGGGTGGCGCAAAAAAAGTTCAGGCGTTTGATCTACCATAGCGAAAAAAGCATAAGAGCTTTACGTCGCTCAAATAAATGTAGCTGTATTCATAAAAGGCTAACTTAAATTTTGATAGGTTATACATGAGATATCACGAAATATTGACTGTGATATCAGCGTCCAAATTAAACTTGCGTAAGCATTTTCAAAAGAATCGAAAATTAGTCTAAAATGGCCCATTGAACTAAATTTGATATCATTAGACATTACGCTGGGCATCGCCTGATTATTTCCCGGGCGAGCTAGTGATGAATAAACGCGGAGATGAGCAGTACCCCTGGCTTTCAGATTTGACAATATCCAATTTGTTTGTGGCTATAGTTGAAATATCAAACTTGGAGTATACCACATCGATAGCGCTAGGTTTTGGAATAATATCTAGAATACTTTTGGTGAAAACTCTTGTGTCAGAAAGATGTCCCATCTTTTGCTGACAGGTTATGAAGATGTCCCATCTTTTCTTAACCAGTGGAAGCTTTAAAGGAGTCTTATATTATTCTTTACATCAGGCTAAGTTAGAGTAAGGCGGTGCAGCTTGCGCTATAGGTTTTGGAATAATATCTAGAATATTTTAGTGAAAACTCTTGTGTCAGAAAGATGTCCCATCTTTTGCTGACAGGTTATGAAGATGTCCCATCTTTTCTTAACCAGTGGAAGCTTAAAAGGAGTCTATAATATTATTCTTTGCAAATTGCATCACGCTAAGTTAGAGTAAAACGGTGCATGGCTGCATGCAGCGACAGCGCTTGGTTTTGGGATAATATCTAAAATACTTTTAGTGAAAACTCTTGTGTCACAAAGATGTCCCATCTTTTGCTGACAGGTTATGAAGATGTCCCATCTTTTCTTAACCAGTGGAAGCTTAAAAGGAGTCTTATATTATTCTTTACCTCACAACGCAGGCGCGGGCGTAGATTCCGTAGATTAGCTAAGACAATCGTGTCAATGCAGCTATTGTTTTTGGAATAATATATACATTAGATAATTATATATACGTTGGTGAAAACGTTTGTACCAAATTCATGTGCGCACCAGGGCCTATAGGGAAAGGCGGTATAATTATATAACTTTATAAGTCAGTTTCTTTATTATTTAGCCATAGAAAACTTACGCCTTTGAAGCCGGACTTTTATACTGCCAAGATCTAAGACGGCAAATATATTCCGAGGTCTCGACATGGAATTATCGAGCTATTCTCTAAGATATCAAGAACGTTTTGTTTTACAACACAGTCTTATTACATATTATACGCAGCCTTATTACACATTGTACGCTATATAGTATAGCCTGACCCTAGGTAACTTGTCAACAGTCGGCATTGTGACATATTTGTACACTTTTATTTTAATGCATAACAGAAAATTAACTTATTACTTGCTTGGTTTCACACTGCGTTTAAGCAACTGAACCTGGATTGATGACATCTTATAGCGGTAATTAATAATTCGATTAGCGTTGCTCGCTTCCTGAAGTTGCAAACTCAGTTTGCAGATCCCCGCTGTTTTTCAAAACGTGCGGGTCGTCATGTACAAAGATGAGAGTTAATTTAAAGAGGTAATTAAAACAGGAAAACGATGTCACGCTGATCAGTTATTAGTTTCCCCTCGCCCTTGTGAAATCAGAATTCCCTTCAGAAATCTTAAACCTTGAGCGCACAAATTATATGAGTCAGATTGCTAACTTGGAGCCTAAATAGTGAACCAATAGCCCTACATCGAAGTGTTCATTAAATATGTCCTAGCATTGTTTTGCAAAGCAAATTTGCCGAGGAAGTTACCCATCATACCTTGCGCGCTCAATGTTTATTAAGGTTTAAGATTTTTGAAGGACAACCTATTTTGAATTGGCTGTATATGTATACATATAACCCTTTTACCTCAAGAGGTTGCCACACAGCTTGTTTCATCCAAGAGGAATCGTAAAAATCTTCAAAAATCTTAAACCTTAAACATTGAGCGCGCAAGGGACGATGGGTAACTACTTATTTAGCGTCTTGAACTGTGTGAGATTTGTCATAATTTTCAGAGAGAGCGCACTTAAGCCTAGTTTCCATTTGGTCGTTAGTTGTCGCTGGCACGACAAGTGGCTGATGTAATAGAGTGTCAACAAAAAACTCTGCAATCATTAAGACTGATTTGCATATCACACAAACAGACTATTATTGTATTAGACTATTTCACATCTACCGCTTGTCGCGCCAGCGACAACTAACGACCAAATGGAAACTAGGCTTAACACCGCGTCGCGCTTCATGGCGTTTCCGAGAGCATCACATCACATGCTTGAAACATCCACTTCAGCAAAATTTGACAAAACACAAAATGTGTTGGGCTGCAGGTATCCAGTAGCTAGGCGATATTAGGATAAGAGCGAGCTTCTATTGTATTCAATCCACTAGTTAAATGACACACTCACTTAAGCAAATTTGTCGTTTTTCCGACCGAACGAGGTTGAAAGATCTAGAGGATAACAGAACATCGATATCGATCAGTACCTTTTTAAATGCAAAATGTTCAAGGAAAGGACAGAAATTTGGTTAGATGCAGGTTGCACAGCGTCTGGCAGTAACCTGTCCAAATTTTTAGCCGCCGTCTTGGTGTGTGTTCTAATCTTACTATCAAAGGGGACGGGGGGATGAACAGGGGTATACAAATTCGCCGACTGCCCAAATTTGAACCAAAATCCGCCCATCCGACAATGGTCTAAATTTCATTTTGAATCCGCCAATAGCTCTACTATGAAGTCACAATCGAGGATCCGAACTAAATTGCAAGCAAAATACACAATCCCGCTCACCAAAATATTAGTGAATTTAAGAATAGTCAGCCCAATAACTATCTTGTTAAATAATTTCTCTAAAACTGATTCAAACTTTTAGTAGAATCGTTAAACATGGGGAAAATATAAAAAAAAATGCTCAGATAACAATGCATTTCTCTTGTTCTTAGCCTGACAACAGACCTACGTTTCGCCCGCTCGTTTCCTGATAGTTCACAGTGGTCTGCAAACGATATTGTACTAGTAGCTATATATTTTTACCGCCACATTAATGGCCCACTTTCATATTTATTGCATTTTGTTTCAAAATTTCGATTACACGAGAACCGAGAAAGCCATATTTTCCCCATATAATTGCTTTTGACCGAGTACCAGCCTCGTCCCTAGCCAGTATGTGCGTGGTGTTTACCCCCCTCAGTCTCCCGCCACGTGTGACCTTCTCACGTGTTTCTCCGGTGCCCGGAACGAGGCTGTCCGAGTACTGGTTGTCCCGGCAAAGCTGGCTGAAAAATTACACACACACTGATCTAATTGTATAATTTATAGTTCATATAACTAAAGGATAGGAAACTTTTCAACTGAGAGTATAATTTACACAGTCGCTTTTGACTCCATTCCAACAAAACCTATGTACAAAACAATGCTTCATACGTTGTCACAAACATAACCAAGATGAACACTATATATAGCCTGGATTTATGCCCCAAGTATTGAACTGCCTTGTCTGGCAAAGATCGACCTTAAGTCCCTGTTTATGCCATTTCCCTTGAGCAATAGCTTGACATATTTTACACCAATGATGGAATTTTCTATCCCAATATTTTCCAGTAATTGTTTCACTTATATCCCCCAGACCTTTTCGCTTCCATTCTAAATGCTTATTATATTCCGTTTCGTTATTCATCAAAAACTTTAGACGCTCGGCTAGTTCTTGGGGATTTTTGAAATCCCTGACGTTAATGATAGCGTTTTTAAGATTTCCTGGTAAAAACTCATAAATCTTGTCTGTGCTCATGACGATTGGCACAGAGCCAGCGTTCAGCGCATGTAGAATTTGATCATCGACAGAATAGTCGCAATCTTGGTTGAAAAATGTTATAGCAAATTTGTATGTCTTTTGTAACTTCGATTTCATATTTTTAAAATCGGATTTATAACGCTGGACGAGTCCTGCTTTATTGTGCAAACATGCACCGTACGAATCTACCGGGATATATCTCATTAATTGTCTGAGGTACTGGGTCCTCACCGGTTCGCAGTTACTAAATGCGGCGATAATCCTACCGGTTTTGTTTTTAAATGGTACAGGAGGATCCAAATTTGGTTTCTTGAACAGAGGAGTAGGGAAATCTGAATCTAATCTGTAGCTTCGCAGTAAATGAAATTGAGACATGTACTCCGGGTTTTTTAAAACAGGAGTATAAACGGGGTTCTCTAAAGTGGTTAGGATCCAAGGGATGTCTTTGTTTGGCGGTAAAGGATAGGGGTCCCGAGCATGGACAATGAATGCGTGAGCTTGTTTGATTCGATCACGATTAGATGTCACTTCGCAAGCAACTGGACACTGACCTTTACCAATTCCTTTTTCAAGAAATCCTTCGCTCTTTTTCGCCGGGAAACCCCACAACTTGGACCAGAATAGGAGGAGGATTTTTTCGTCTGCCGCGTACGGTACACGGGTTAGGTTTGGTGAGGTGTCGGAGAAGAACAGGCTGAGAAGCAACAGTGTAATGCCGATGATGGTTGAAAAAGCGACGAACAAGAAAATTGGTAGCGATAATCTTTTTGCGTGTTGTTTCACCAGCATTTTGTTGTAATGGACCATATACATTGGATGTGGTACTTGCGTTGGTTAAAGCTGGCTGAATACGACCTGGAAATTGGTAGCAAAGCAAATCAAGTATACATTATCGTGTATGCATCGTGTATGCAGTGTATGAGGAGGTGTAATTTTGAGCTCCTCAAATATATATATAACCATTTTTGCTAATAGTGAGAATATTAGATAACATACACACTTACTGTATACATCAAGTGGAATGTGAAATCGATATGTCCACTGAACACCTAAGTCTTGCTTGGACTGGCGATTTTGACTCGCTCAAGAAATTTTCAAACGAAGTCCGAAACCTTGATATGGAGAGTGGACACAGCCTGGAGGGGACAGGAAGCTCTTTACTTTTCGTGACAACTCAAGTATTGTATGGCGATCGTATGGATGAGATCGAGAGTCTTAGATCTTCCCAGTTATTGAATGGTGAAGCAATTCAGCTTTTGGTTAATTCTGCTTCGCAAATCTTTTCTATGATTGCTGAAATTCAAGCAAATGCAAAACCCTCTACAGACGATTTAAGTAAAAAAAAATACGGAAAAATCACTACAGGATAAAATTGAGCAATTTGAATATGCAATTCCATCAACACCAACACTGATAATCCTATTGTCCTAGAACAATTAATTGAATCAAATAATGCAAATAGTGATGAATGCACTCCCTTGATAGAACAAAACAGATGCCTTCTTGATTGCCGCTTATCTCTAAAGTATTTTCTAATGAAAATACTTTAGAGATAAGCGACAATCAAGAAGGCATCTCCACATTAAACGGATTAATTGACGACATGAGCGATAATAACATGAAAATTTCCTACGCAAAAGCTGCAAAATCGCATCAAGATTTAAGAAACCCCTCTAAAACACCTATAAAAACTGCAAAGGATAAATTGTCGCTTGCTACTAATGCAAAGGAAGATACCCCAAATTCTGAGGAATTAATACACTGCAATGTGCCCGACGGCTTTATTGGAGTTGAACGTAAACGAAAGAAATACAAGAAAATTTTTTATCTGGTATTGCTGAAGGCGTAAAAGAAAGCCAGATATACTCGTATCTCGTTGAAAAAAATATAACCCCTACCATGGCGTCTACCTTCCAAAGTAAACGTAAAGGAACAATGTCTGCTAAAATACATATCCCATTAACCACAAGTTCGGTCGTACTAGAAAAAAACTTTTGGCCAGAGTTTGTATACTGTAAGCCATGGCAACAAAAGTAGATAAGAGACAAAATACATTGCAGAAAAACAAAGAGACCCTAGTGGAAAACTATATACCTTATTATAGGAAAATTAACGATGCACTTTATTAACGCGGATTTTAAAAATTCGCGTTAATTTAATTAATGTTAATTTATGTGATCGTTAATTTTAAGCATGTAATTTTCATTTATCGTGAGTTAAAATTACTTAGATTTGTTTTATATAACACTAACTCTTTTAATATCAAAATACAGCATATTAACGTAAACTAAAAACATCAGTGTTCCTCTTAACATTAAACCTTTGTTGTTGTTGTGTCTATATTTTCCTATTCGCGTTAATTTAATTTGTCAACCATGGAGATCAGATTCGCGTTAATATAATCATGTTTTAAAAGACCTAGAAGCAATCCGCGTTAATTTGATGTCGCGTTAATTTATGTCGCGTTAATAAAGTGCATCGTTAATTTCCTATAATAAGGTAACTCTAGTATAATGGAGAATGTAATTCCAGTACGTATCTCGTCTAGAAGATGTAAAAAGTCTAGACAAAGACCCCTCTACTCTTATAGAAATCTAAGTCGTGTAAATGTTACTAGACAAGGACTCAGCAAACCAAAGCGAATTCCACAGTGTTTGGTGTTGAATGCTAGATCAATTGTGAAGTCTGATGCCTACCCAGCGTTATATGCGGAACTCAAGAGCAACAATATTGATGTTTGCTGTATTTCAGAAACATGGCTAAATGCAATTATAGCCAGTTCTCTAATTTGCCCACCTGAGTTCTGCATCATCAGAAAAGATAGATTAGGTGCCTGTGGTGGTGGAGTGGCAATCCTTTGTAGAAAAGATTGGAGAATGCAAAAAATACCAAATATGAATAACCCGTTTGAATGCCTTACAACTGAAAACTCCAGTTTTAATGTTGCAGCTGTATACCATCCTCCCGACCACAATTATAATGCAGACGATTTAATAGAATTCCTAATGGACTCATGCGAGCAGTTATTATCGGAAAACCCTAATACGAAAATAATTATTACTGGAGATATAAACAGATTGAATATTCGCGACCTACTTAATCAATTATCTTTTGCACAGCAGGTTAGATCATCTACAAGAGGTAACAATATCTTAGATGTTTTTGTCACAAATGCTCTTCACTACTGGAAGGAAATAAAAGTTAAGAAAAGTTTGGTAAGAACTGATCATAATATGATTATTGCATATTCGAAAAACATTATAAAAGCAAAAAGAACAAATTCATTCTTTAAGGATGTGAGAGAACATAGAAAATTAAACATGTTAAGAGAACTAGAGAATGTGGACTGGTCCAAGATAACAATATATGACCAGGCCCCTCATGAAATGGTTAAACAACTTTAAGAAAGTTTCTGGCCAAGATTTGAGAACAATTTTCCACTGATAAAAGTCCGAACCTCGTCACGCGATCCACCATTTATGTCCCCTATCGTATTGTTGAAAAAAAAGGAAGAAAGCTATAGGCATAGGTGATGAAGAATCTACTTTTCGTCTACAAAATCAAATTAACACACTAATTCGCGCCAATCAACTTAATGCTGTTCAAAATGAGAACCAAAATCATAAAACTGGAACAAAGAAATGGTGGAAT